ACAGGTAATCCTTGCTTAACAACCATTCATTCAGCAACTGTGGGGAAAATAGGAGGAAGGAGTATTAAGTATGTTCGCCGCCTTGAGTTATTTATAAAAATAATAAAGGTGGGATTAAAAAAAAATCTAAAAACAAAAAAAAACCCTGTTCAAAGTTACAGTAACGCTGAAAGATTGGTAGTTACAGCTGGTCCTTAAAGTTACAGCCATTGCAGTGCCCCTGCGGTCACATGATCAAAATTTGGGTGCTTGGCAGCCCACTCACATTTATGACTGCAGGTTGTGCTTCAACTACCCCTACCCGCATATCTCCCCCCCATCTCTACCCTTTTGTCCACCCTGAACTCTGCTGCCCCTAGCTGACCTTCACTGTTGAAGACTCGGGAAGACCATGTGCGGCCAGCAGCTGCCTTGTGAAGGGCCAGGCCAGGCCAGGCACGCCTCATCAGCAGCAGGAAGAAGTAGATGGCGAAGGTCAGCTGGGGGGTGGCAGGAGCAGTGGAGTGCAGGGCAGACAAAAGGGCACAGATGGGGAGATAGGCAGATGGGAAGAGTTGAAGTGGAGGTGAGCACAGCAGAGCAGAAGTGTGAGGTCCTGGCTTAACAACGGTGTGGTCCTGGGCTAATGACCGCAACCGGGACTACCAAAACTACCATTGTTAAGTGATGCAGTCACATGATGTTTTGCCTAACAACCCTCATTGCTTAATGACAGAAATTCTGATCCCAGTTAGAGTCATTAAGCAAGAACTATCTGTACAGTCCTATGCTATCTAATTAATATCACAGTATCAGTAATTCACCATACTTAAGAATACAATACAAGGCTTGTTTTTTCATGCTACTTTATTTCAAGTGAAATTATATCAAAGTTCAGATCAGATATGGCTATAAACGTACTCTTCTAGAAGCTCAACCTTACATTCAGGAACTAGCTAGCAGTAGAAACTTCAAGAATCTAAGGTAGTTGCTTTCTTGAGGGCAAGAAAGTGATACATTAAAAAAAAAAACCTGCTGCTGAACCCCAAAATCAGGTCTTATGTATATGTTAGCTCTAGGATTTAATTTTTCACAAGCCAGGGACCTTCAGTTTGTTTAACAATCCCTGGCTTGTTAAGCCAAAGCCTGAAGCTAAAATTGGTTGCTGGTAAAAGGAGCTAACAAGCATGCAAGAAGCAGCATGTGCAACTAAGCTTGTTTGATTGGGAAGAATTTTGTCTTACTATTATGTGCAAACTAGACTACAATGTGGCCTTTTGTACTTTATTTAAATAGCAATATCTCAACATTTTTTGTAGAGTACCATAGATTCAGTTTTAATTATAAGTTAGATTTTCTATACTCGTTAATTCAAATTTGTGTTTAAAGTATATTATTTTTAAAAGAAAGATGTAATATATTTAAGAATCTGATTTCCAAATGTTAGTAGAATAACAAAATTAATTTTAATTTATATGAATTTAGGACAAACTACACAAGAAAACAGTTAAATGTAGTGAGAACACACCTTGAATCTGAACCAGAGTTCTTCGGTCACTGCTTTATTCTCCAGTGAACGGCTTGCACAAGTGTTGCGCCCTGCGCTTACAGGATATTTCAACACTTTTGTTCATTTGAATAAAGGGGTCTATGTGTGAGAGTTTTTGCATCAGATTTTATAAAAAAATACTTTCTGTGTTTTAATTTAATATACTGATATTCCATGTAAAATAATCCACAGTTTTTAATCAAAATTACTAGGAAGTTTACGACTATAATAGCTTTCCTTTCCTGTATTATTAATGCTAAATACCAGAATATCTTTTTATTAAAAATGTTCAACTGAATTGCACAGACTCTTATTCAAAATATGTTTCTAACTACTTAATTAGGATGACTGTAATTCTTTATTATTGTAGTTGCTAGTTTGTCTATATTTCAGAAAATAATAAGATTAATTAGTACTTTAGAGGTCATATTTGCACTACCTATGCCATCTTCCTTCACTGCAAGTGAATGCGTGGTTGTGGAAGTCAGAAGATCCTTTCCCAGTTCCTCTCTATGTTGTTAGCCCTGATTACATTAATGATTCCATTTCACTATCATGCTATCAATTAGTGAGATGTACATGATCCTAGCCCTCCAATGGATTTGTCAGCCTTTTCTCTAAGCCACCCTCCTACAGGGTGAGGAGTTTGAACTCTTTCAGTCCTGATTTTGATTAAAACAGTTTGCTGGGTCATCTGAATTCAATGAACTTGATTTAATTTTCACTAACAGTACTTTCAGATGAAGACTCTGTGCCAGTTCTAAAGAAGCTTATGTTATAATTTGTTACGTTCAAGAATAGGAACTTCTAGCTCAGCTTCAGGGTATTTGAAACTACAATAAAAACAGAGGAAGTCTTTGAAATGCTGCAACTTTGTGGAGCTAGTGGGCAGTCTAGCTCCTCTTGGATGGTGTGAGTTTGGGTGTGCAGTGATTTTTGTTCCTTCTTAGTGTTTGAGGATCAATAGTTTTAAAGAGGATTGCAGATTATCTACAAATTGGTTTGGAGATAGTAGAAAGTGCAATAATGGTGGTTTGGAATCACCCTATGATTTGTTTCAGACTAACCAACCTGAAGCATGGGTACTGGTTTGTTTAAACAAATCATAGTTTAAATAAGTTCAGTTCTAGTAAATGTTATTGTCATTGGCATGTAAAGAGGAAATGGTATATGTTTGCAGAGCTCATGGATATATAACATTTTACACATTAGGCATACTTTGGCATAATATTTTGCCAGTTTTCCCTTTTTTTCTGGGCACTGATATCCTAATCAGAACTTGTATATATTCCTCAGTTCTGGAGTCTTAGCATGTTTTCCAGTCATAGGTCTGTATAATATAAGTGATCCAGTAGGGCATGAAGTTTAGGTTGAATTTCCTCTGCACCATGTGGGGGCAAAATATGCCATTCTTCTACTTAACCATATTTTATAGAAAGGCCTGTTCCTACTTTTCAATGCTATAAGCATAATCTTAACAATCTTAGCTATAATTAACATAACAATCTGGAGAAATAAATTCCTCTTTAATTTCTCAGAAATAAAGACATTTTGTTGGGGGAGGGGTTGAGATTTTACCTGGTTGACAAAGGGTTTGCTGTCAATCATGTAGCGCTACTCAGGTGATACTGCTGTGTATTTACCAGACACAAAAAGTAGGAACATTAATACAAGTTTGTAATACTCCTCACTTAGATCTAACTTTCTAAATTAGCTAAGTTTCTATACAATTATGCTGCCAGTGCATGTAGATCAAACCCATAATTATATGCATGTAGCAGAAGCTGAGAGATTTTGAGGTATACCAAACTTGCGGGATTCAAATAAATCTTGCCAGTGTTACTATTCCATTTGAAGGACTAGATGCAGAATGTCTTATGACATTCTGCAGAATAAGCGTGTTGTTACCCAGTCACTTTATATATGTGGGGATGTGTAGGGAAATATGTAGTGAAAATTGAAGTGGATTCTTGAAGGAATCCAATTTAATACGGAATGAAAGAGTTGTGATGTATCTTATGTAGTTTTACTTTCTCCTCTCCTGTATAGCTTCTCCTTTTTTAGCACCAGCCTAGAAATGTCCATTTTCTTGTGTACCCTGACTTGTGTAAGTCAATTTTGATGATACTCAAACTTCTTGTGTCTTAGAGATCAAGGCTTAGGGGCAGCATAATTGAATCAAAAAGCCTGATTGATTGATTGATTGATTGATTGATATCCTACATTTCCCTGCCTATCATTCCTGCCGTGAGGAAGGAAAAAGTCCTGTATTTAAGCCTTGCCCTCTCCAGATAGAACCTGGAATCACACCAGGCTTAAACCCCAGAGAGCTGTTAAATGGTTCTGTACCAAGTCAGAGGGAATCTGGTGGCCCATATGCTTCTGTATGTCAGAACATAAAATATGTCTTTACAGTATTTTTCACTAAGGAAAAAGAGCTTCACTAGTTAATAAAATACCTGAGAGATACATTATTATACATAGTTTAGCTTATTAAAATATACATTCTTAGAGCAAACACAAATTATACATAGAAATGTAAGCTTTTTTTCCCCATTCAGTACTGTAAATGCACTCATGAACTTTTCCTGGGCTTCTGTTATACTTTGCTTGAAAGCCAAATTCTGCATTTGCTTTTATTTTTATTTAAAGTGGTCACAATTAAGTAATTTCATGATAATTGGATGTGCATTGATTAATAACCATTATGAAAGAGGTGCAAGAGGGCTGTGGCATTTTTGTTTTTTTCTTAATATGTATAAATATATACAGTTTGGTTAGGTTAATTGAGATGGTTTTAATATGTTACCAGGAGAAATGATAACTGAATGAAATATTCCATGGGTTCTTGACTTCCAGATGTATAGCTGAAAGCACCCATGAACAGAGAGGAAGGTGTAGCATGTTGGTAAAGTTAGTTTTGAGAAGAAGACTTGGTGAAGACTTGGAGATGAATTTGACAGCTTGGAAATTGAATTCATACAACTTTAGGTTTCTTTGATTCTAAGGGTAGCTTTGAGTTTTCCTTGGACTACCCACTGAGTAATGTTATTTAGAATTAATCAAGACTTAGGTGTTTTGAACTGTGGAATAATTTTTCCAATGGATTCCTCCCCTCCATATTTGTTTTTAAATATAGTATATAATCCTTTCATATACATTATGGATTAAACTAACAAAACCTGTATTTGGTTGTCATTAAAAGAAAACTTTATTGTATGTTGTTAGCTTACATAGAAATTCCACATTTCAAAATTCTGACCATACACTGAGAATAAGGTCCTCCTAGATCACTGATTTTGAAATCAATTACAGATTATATCTTTAATATTTACAATTGGCTTTTAGTTGTAGCATATGGGGAGAATAATGGGACAAGATTATACTGGGAAGCTGATTTGAGAACAGAGATGCCAATAGCTTGCTTCCTTCAGGACAAGCTTGGTGCAGTAGTGGGCAAGCATCCTGTGGATGGTTTTAAAACAGAGTTTAAAATGGCAGATTGCCTTTGGTTAGGTTCCTTAGCAGCTGTTCCTGGTAAGCTGAGTGTGCTAAAGAAAGATTTACCAAGGCTGAATATCAATTTTTGGAAATACGGAAGCCAGCTGTGACCTGAAGCAATTACATGACAGGTTTTGCATTAATAATGTGGGGTATTCATTTTAGTTGATGTACTAAATAAAAATTAGTCAGTAAAAACCAAACTCATTAGCATTACTTAGGAGCTGAAGTGGAGAGTGTATGTTCAAGAATAGAGTCAAAGAATAGCAAGTCCTATGTTTATTTTAAAGTTATGGGTTGACAGGGTTTAGAGAATACAAATACAATACAATACATTCTAGTAAACTCATGTTTTAAGGGGAATCATCTTAACATACAGGATTACTGCAAAAAAGAAAGAAACTCCGTAGAAACCAAGGTTTTTATTATCCCATTGCTCGCTTTACACAGACAGATGTCTGTTGAGATATCTTGCCAATGCATATATAGGTACCTATCTACAATATGCACCGACATCAAACTTCAGTGTATTATAATTTAATAAGAGAAGGCACAATATGTCACAGTACAACTAAACTGTCTTTATTTTTCCACATTCTTACAAGATGATTTGAGCTATAGTATTTACCAGGAAAAGCAGGTGGTGGGTATAATAGTGTTCATTTGCAGCTGCTTAAATTATTAACACTTTTTTAACCTGATGCTTTTACAGTCACGCACACTTCAACTGGTCTGTCTTAGCACAATGACAGCCAACCCTTTCACTTCTGTACTTTTTCCATTAGCCACTACCCATGTTTGAAAGTCATTTGAAACAAGCACTTTGGGGGTGCCCCAGGCTGCAACAAAGGTAAGAATGCTTTGGGTACTGTTGGATGTGACAAATACTGAAAGTTGCTGAAAAGGCAGGCCAGTGCAAAATAATTCAAAAGCACCTTGTTATTTCCTCAGGAGGCATATCTTTTCCTCTGTGCTGCTACAGGTGAGGAATTGCTTAAACATTTTTTTTTTCAGTACCTTTGTGTTGCCTATGGCGATTGAAAACCATTAATATTTTTTTCAGTGTTACACAGATAATTTTAATTGGAAAAAAGTTTATTGGGAATACTTAGACTTCACCACTCATACACAAGTGCTATGGTGGCTTACTGTAATGTTTCATGTACATTAGAAACACTGCCTCAAATAATTTATTACACTGCTCACTCTGTACATGTATACACTTATATTGAGGATCTTTGTTGTAGCAGCACAGTATTTCTTTTCTCAGTTTGAAACAGATTTAGGGCTATTTCAAAATAGCTATGCTTATGTAAAATTATGAGACTATGGTCTTCAGGAGAAGGTATACCCTCAGTGATTGGCATTCAACTCTGTCTTTACTCTTTATTGGATACTATATGATGATTGGTATTTTTTCTTTTTTTGTATTTGGTATGGGTTTCTTTTTAATTTTGTTGAGCCTCTTTTATAGCTCAATGCTAGTTTCCGTGTTTTCCACCTCAGAATGATGAGAAACCATGTTTACAATAATTATCAGAATGTGTTCTGGGTGCTACATAACAAAATAAAGATTTGGAGGCTGTGAGTTGCCCACTCCTATTTTATCATGTGAGGTATCTTCACACTGAGGATAAAGAATATAAATACCTTAGGTTTTGGGCAATGCCCTTTCAAGCAGAACCATCTGACCCATAACTCATTCATCACAAAAGTAGATGTTCTGATATGCACTGAAATCTTTAAATGGCTTAGGAAAACTTCCATATTCTTCAGCAGGTCAGATTATCTCAAGGTCTGCCTTGTTTAGGATGAAGCTGTTCCTTATTTCATCATTAAAGCCTTCCACCACTCAGTAGTCGCATCCTGTTTATAAGCAGTCTTCCCTAAGGGATTAAATAAGCTTTTTCATGGTTTGCCAATTGGTAAACAGTATATGTCTAAGTATTAACAGCAGGAGATTAGACCCTGTGAATAAGTTTTTTTTTTTTTTTTGCCTTACTATGTACTGTATTAGCAGATGTTCAGAGACAAAGATGGGTT